GCTTCCTCTTTTACCTCCTTTGGTATGTCATCAAAATGGGGCCTTTTAAATTAGATCCCTCCTGGCCTACTTATTAAAATTCTCAATTACTTCCCAACGGTTGCTTTTACCCTGATTCTCTGCTTTATTTCTTTTTTCTTCATAGCACCCAGCAGTCTGTAGAATACCAACTTCACTGGAATGGGCTTTTTGTCTATGCCACTCCCTGCTGTTGGCTTAGCATCTACTGTGTCGCTGGCACACAGTAGGCTGTCAATTCTCATCCGCATGAATTAGAGGCTGTGCTAACTTCAAATGTCTGGGGTGTAGGGCTTGCTACAATTGCCAGTCAAGCCACTACAGTTAGGAAAGTCATAATCTTGCATTTCTCAAACTGTTTCACCAAGATACCCCCATGATACCTTAAGCTGGGTAATTGCTACGTGTGGCTGTTCTGTGAATTATAGGGTTCTAAGCCACCTTTCTGGCAGCTACCCACTAGATGTCCACTTATGACTATCAAAATATGTTTCCAAAGATTTCCAGATGTCTCTTGGTGGCCAATTCACTTCTAGTTGTGAACAACTAGCTTAGGAAAACAAGTTTTTTATATGGTGACCCTATTGCAAAATGCCACTCTCCTTTCTGAATTAGCCGTCACTCTGTAACACTGACGGAATTTCCTAACTGGAGGATCACATGGTTAGAAAACACCATCTTTAAGATTGGAGGGTCACAGTGAGCTCCACAAAAGCATACGTAAGATCAAAAGAACAGCTCCCTTCTACTCAGAGAGAGAAGTACTGAGAGATCTCAAGTGTACCCCTGGGGTCAGTGTAGTCGGGATGGGATACCACGTAGAAATCTTTCTACCCCTTCCTGAAAGGACAAAAGTAAATGAAGCTAAGAAATGAAGGGAAAGAGATCTCTGTAAGTTGGAGGATAAGGATCCTCTCTCCCTCTTACTCCTTGTATTCAATGAGATTCCCCACAGCCAGGATGAGGAACAGCCTAGTAGTTAGAGCTGAGTTACGGTATACACTAAATGGAGCCAGTTTGGTCTCCAACCATCATTTGTACCACTGTTTCTACACAAAAGGACCTTCTAAATTTTAAACAAAAAACTTTCGGAAGAGATTTTGATCATAAGCTGGAGCCTGTCTAGCTGTGTGTGCAATATATTCACTTTTGTCTACACTGTGCGCAAAAGCTGTCCTACACTACCATTCTCCAAAACCATGTGTAGGGACACTGAAACAAAATGTCCTAAGTAAACAACAGCGTGCTGGTCGTTTCACTTCCGGTGTTCTGCTCATACCTGGAAGTTAGTGCTACATATCTAGAGGAGTGAAACTCCCCCACACCCCTAGCTCTGAGGTCGATTTTTCTAACTAGCAACATAAAAGTACTTTTCATTTAAAATAATCTCACAACCCAAACAAAAAACCATTGCCTGCCTGCTAGCATACGTGTCGTATCTGCAAGGTGTTTTTTATTGTTAACATGAAACAGATTTGTCTTGCCACATGCAAATTTTCCTAGACAGAATATATTATTGACAGAAACCTGCTGTAAGGAGACACTGTGTTAATCTATCTCTCATGTAACTGTGGAAGTGTTTGTAATACCAGGAAGCAATTTCCTTACAGACAAAAGGGGCAACTCTGCCTGCAAATAGAAAGACCAACGCTATCAAGAGCCGTGGACCATTACAGGAACTCTAAGAATCCTATTATAAGAGACTCAGCCTGCCATGGTGCCAACAGTTGTATTCCCATCCTCTGGGAGGTGATGGCAAGATTAGAATTCTGTGCCTAGCCTGGGCAACTTAGTAGGACTTTGTCTCAGAATAAATAAAAATAAAAAAAGGGCTGGGATGCAGTCCAATGTAAAGGACTGGTTTCAGTGCTCAGCAGAATGAATACACTCATACGCACACATCCATGAAGAAGAGAAGAGGAAAGGGGAGAGGAGAGCAGGGGAGAGAAGGAAAGGGGAAGGAGTGAGGGGAGAAGTGAGGGGGAGGGGACGGAAAAGGAGGAGGGAAGAGGAG